TGGAGGTCGCATCATCGGCATGGACATTGAAATCACCCAAGACTAACAGTCAAGGGTGCTCAAGCTCCCAGCCTGATACAGCCTCCAGCAGGGATGGCAGGCTACTTGCTGCTGCGTTGGGCAGTCAGTACACCAGCCAGATAGCCAAACTCTCTCCGACATCCCAGACAAAGCCAGCACACTCTATGCCCATGATTTTCGGTGGTGGGAGTGCTCTGAAGGTATAACTCTCCTGAATGAACAACGCCATTCCTCCCCCCCCCCTTAGTTTGGGATTGGTGAAGAACCAAGTACCCAGGAGGAGCCAACTGTTTCCCTATCTCGCACCCAGGTCTCAGTCGCGCACGCCAGGTCCATGCTCTGACACAAAGTCATGAAGGATCGTAGTCTTGTTGTTTATGGACCTGGCGTTACACAACACCAATGTCGAAGTGGGGTTATCTATCCTAGCTCCACTACCTTCGGGATGGGACACAGACTGGAAGGGGGCCGAGCCCATCTACGTCTCCATTCCCTTTATTTCCAATTCCATCTGGTCACCTCGCAATACTTTCCCCTCCCCACCCACTTATACCTTGCTTTTCTCCCCAGTGGGGACCAAAGCAGCTTACATCACTCTTACTTCTTTCCTGTCATCCTAACAAACACCCTGTGAGGACAATTTGGTGAAGTGCCTGGGGAGGGTGAAGTATGGGGGGGAGCTTGGTGGTATGATGCCATATAATTCACTTTCCAAAACAGCCATTATCTCCAGGGGAACTGATCCCTACAGTCTGGAGATCAGTTGTAATTCTGGGAGGACTCCAGGCCTCACCTGAAGGTTGGTAACAATGTCTGACATTCTTACCACTATACCATGCTGGCTCTCACCTAGGGGACAACCTGGATATACCTGCACCAACCTGACAAATTTCACAATACAGAATTTAATCCCAGTGATTGAATAGTAAAATACAAAGAATGTTCAAAGAAAATATGTGAACCCATTTTGATGCTAAATTTTCCATACTATGAATATTAGTCTCCTAGAACAGTATGAAACATCACTAAAGATTAACAATTGATAGACCCTAGGCTAAATCTGGACTCTTGAGATGTACTACCTGGTCCCATGACTGTAAATAGAAATCAAAAGAGGAAGGAAGCAACTGTGCCCATGGTATTTGTCAATAGGCCATTTGGCAGTGGTGTACCTAGCCTATTTGACATCTAGGGCAGATAATATTTTAACACCCCTCCATTTTTATTTTATTTTTTTGCTGCAGCACCCTAACTACTGCTTTGCAAGATCTGGCTGTGCTGGATGCAAGGACACGGAGGGAGAAAGGCTAGACTAGAGGTGCTGAACTCATTTGCTACGAGGGCCAGATCTGACATAATGTCACTTTGTTGGGCCAGGCCATGTGTGCCATAAAATGTAATGCCAGTTACCAGAGATATCTCTCCCTTATATATAAAAGAGTAGTGGGCACCAACATTCTAAAATGCGCCCCGTTAGTGTATGGCTGGTAGAACTGCCACTTATTATAAGGGAGAGATGCCCACCAATGAGAACGCGAAGCCCGGGTCCCGCCCACACCACGACTGCTCCGAGAAACCACCTCCACTCGCCCGACGCCATTTACTTTGTCGGGCAAGGACGAGAACTACGAGGGTGCTGGCACGTCGGTTTCGGTAGCCTGTCACCTGCCTCGCCCCCCCAACGCTCACGGGCCGGCGACAGGAGCCGGCGCCCTCCTGTCGCCCGCCTCGCCCCCCAAACGCTCACGGGCCGGCGACAGGAGCCGGAGGCCTCCTGTCGCCCACCTCACCCCACCCCCCAATGCTTACAGGCTGGCGACAGGAGCCGGCGCCCTCCTGTCGCCTGCCTCGCCCCCCCAACGCTCAGGAGCCGGCGCCCTCCTGTCACCCACCTCGCCCCCCCAACACTCCCGGGCCGGCGACAGGAGCCGGCGGCTTCCTGTCGCCCGTCTCACCCCCCCCCCAACGCTCCCGGGCCGGCGACAGGAGCCGGCATCCTCCTGTCGCCCGCCTCGCTCCCCCCCAACGCTCCCGGGCCGGCGACAGGAGCCGGAGACCTCCTATCACCCGCCTCATCCCCCCCAACTCTCCCGGGCCGGCGACAGGAGCTGGAGGCCTCCTGTTGCCCACCTCGCCCATCCCCAACGCTC